TGACTTACATTACATGATTGCACAAAAAGATGGAAATAGTAATTTTATGTGTACGTTTGACATCTTTTATGAATGCTGTTGTTGATTTTATTCATTAGTTTATTCAATTTATTTAATGATTTCCTCGAAACATCGTTACTTTGCTCTTTGACAATGTCATTGTGGACCCACTGCCGAAGCATGTGTCCGAGAATTGTTTTTTTTCAATAACATTGCAAAAAATAGTTAATAATTCTAATCCTGTCGATAATATGTGGTCATTTGAAATTTGATAAGTGTTTTCAGACATTGTGAAAAGTGATAGATTTGATAAAAGAATCATATGTTAGTTAGGTTCCTAAAATTATATATAATTTTGATGCGACTACTGCCTGGCCAGTTTTCCGGCCTACAGTGTCTGGGGACTCGTGACGTCTTGGCCGGTTTTCTGGCCTACGGTGTTGAATGGGTTAACATGCAGGTTAACATGCTGAAATCTTCAGTGTTGCCATGACCTTGAAAATTATGTGAAGGTCACCAAAATCGACTGCGCCTTCCCTAGATAAAGCTTGGTATTGAATATGAAGAAAATCCAGTGAATGGTTCTTGAGATAGCTTAAAGGCAGGTAAAACGTTAAAGTCCCCTTGTGACCTTGAAATGAAGGTCAAGGTCACCAAACCTGACTTGGTCCTTTCTTATACTGTGATGAACCTAGGTACCAAATATGAAAAGAATCTAGTCAACGGTTCTTAAGATATTCCAATTTGTACATACGGGCGGACGGACGGACGGGTGGAGCCTAATACTATATCCCCCGCTTCGCACTAAACGTGCGGCAGGGGATAATAACAGTATTAATGATAATATTTAAGCGTCTAGGACCCCCATTTTGTTGTCCATGACCCCTGAAAATTATGAGTATGAGTCCCAGGGACCCTCAAATACAACACTCCATGTAAATCCCTGACAAGCAGTTCAGTTTCGTCAGCTAGCATAGGGGTCTGGTCCACAAGCGAAGGTGGTACTGAAAATAACCTTAAGGGATGCAGTCAACAGGCCAGGGGGTATTTGAAAGTATTTGTGGGGGTTGGGATTAGTCAAAAGAATGTTTTCAAACTTAATGGAACTCTTAATAACACATCTTTTAAAAAAATGAAAACAGCGTTAGTAACTTGAACCATATTTGTGAAAGTGTCAATAATCCATTGAAATGCTTACTCTCAAGTGTGTGAAGGGAGACTCCATAGCATCAGTTTCAACTGGATAAGATGGCTGCAGAGGCAGCAGTGTTAGTACCAGAAACATTATATTCTCTACACATGTAATGTCCAGAGCCATAAAAATGTCATTGAAGGGAGCTTATACAGAAGGGTACCGCTAAAAATGTCAAAGGCATTATGTTTCTCATGGGACAGGAATCCACAATCAAGTCTCCGGGTTGAGACTAGACAGGGTCTCCTCCGCAGAAGCATTAATAAGATTTCAGCATCAGGGTCAGAGAGCAGTGGTTGACAAATCGCCTGTTCAGGTCCCAGACGGCGTCCAATTTGTTTCCGATCTGTTCATTTATTTCTGTAGGTTTGATGCATTTAACCATGGAGCAATCTTGGTGAATGGAAAGAAATATGATAGAAGATCATTTTTTTCTTTTTCTCACTTACAGAAAAGGCTCTGTGATATGACTGATATAAGCTATGAAAATGGATGGTTTAGACAGCATCGTTATCCATACAATAAGTACCTTGGTGCAGCATCTCTAAACCTGTGAAGATACAGGTCAGAATTGGTCTTCAGTAACCCATGCTTGTCCTAAGAGGCGACTGACGCGATTGGGTGGTCAGGCTCACTGACTTGGTTGACACATGTCATCGTTCCCAATTGCGTAGATCAATGCTCATGCTGTTGATCAATGGATTGTGTGGTCCAGACTTAATTATTTACAGACTGCCGCCATAGAGCTGGACTATTGCTGAGTGCGGCATAAAACTTAACTCACTCACTCACTCAAGGGGTGCCATGACGAGCCACATTTATTTATCAGGCCAGCCCATCAAAACAACAAACAAACAAAACCAGCATCTCTGAGCAATGGTATGTCACTTTGCAATTTTGTAGATACTCTAGCTGAACAGACCAAGTCGCTTGGTGCTGCCAATACCCCCTCTGAAGGAGCAGCTGATGCCAATATACTGTCAGACACCATTTTAAAATAATGTATTGTTATGACATGGGTGATCTTTTCACATGTGAGTATTATAACAAATTAGGAGGCATGATGCTCCTCTTCTATATGAGACCAGCCAGGTGGCACTGTTCACTGTCTGTACCTCATTATCTGACACAATGTGTCATGTCTATATCACACATGGCGATTTTTATATCAGACATTACAGCATGATGTTCCATGTATATATTTGACCATCTGACATGAAGTACCATGAATATATTACATCATGTGACACGATGTTCCATGTATATATTTGACCATCTGACATGAAGTACCATGACTATATTACATCATGTGACACGATGTTCCATGTATATATTTGACCATCTGACATGAAGTACCATGAATATATTACATCATCTTACACGATGTTCCACGTATATATAATTATGCAGTCAGCAGCCATTCTGTTTACTTGCTTTCACCCTTGGCTGACCCAAATGGCAAATCCTGACGAATGCATCACGCAACCAGCACCATGTCATCTGGTATACATATCCTCACAAATACATGCTAACATGTGCGATGTGTCTGCCTCCCACAACATCAGCAGCTGTCTTGAGTAGGGTCTCTTACTGATACTGCTGTACATATAAACATACCAGCGAATGAACAAGAACTGTTGCCAAATGGTCAATACTACTTCCATAATAGACACATCTGAAGTGGATCTATCTGGGCTTACACTGGAACCAGCACGTAATAGCACTCGTCTTGTGATAGCACTCATTGAATAGTGAGTGAGTGGGTTTGGTTTTATGACGCTTTAAGCAATATTCCAGCAATATCTTGGCAGGAGTCAGTGAGTGAGTGAGTGAGTTGGAGTTGACACTGCTATTAACTATTCCAGTTACATCATAGTGTGTCAGCTTAATGTGGGCAGAAAGCCACACGTGACACAGGTCTCGCACATTTACAGTCACACTTTGAAGGAAACCTAGAGCACAAATATGGTGCTGACAAGGTGATCCCAAGGTGATCCCAAGGTGATCCCAAGCACAGGATTGTTTCATTCGACTGGTCTTCACTGAATAGGCCACAGTGATTTATTTGGTTTGTATCATTTCATTCACCAATATTCCAGCCAAGCATGTTCCAGAAGTGGATTATACATGGTACCTGCATGGAAAATCAAGCCCAGTCCCTTGGCATAACATCTGAAATGTTTTCTCAAGAGGCTCATTCTCCATCTCAGATGCCACTTTGCTTTTTGTCACAATAATAGTTGATCAATCTGGTTAGCCCAAAGTCTATCTGTATTTTGGAACCAGGCAAATTATAATATAATAATATGAACATAGTACATTTGTAGAACACCTAATATATACCTCAAAGATGCTCAGTGATGCTACGGACAAATTACGCACAAAGCACAGACATTTTTATCCCGGTTAACCCAACCTGCCTATGAGGGGTTAGAAGGTTAACAGTCATATCACCATCTTATCCCATCGTGTACCCATTCACCCCAAATTACAATTTTGACCATAATGACCTTTTACCAACAAATAACAGACTTTTTAAGATGCAGTACATTGATAATGACTTGTGCAGCTATTGTTCTGGTTCTTTAGAGACTATAACACACCTATTTTATGATTGTAGCAAGGTTGTCCCTTTTTGGCAAAATCTTGAAAACTGGCTTAATAATAATCTGGATGTAAATTTAAAGTTCACAAAACAAACAAAAAATTGCTCTAATTCGGTCATAAAAATAATGATCCAATCAACGTGATTCTTATCCTTTTAAATATCATCTTTAACTGTAAAATATCTAAACAGATGCCAACCTTTCAGTTTTTACAACAGGAACTAAAAATATTATGAACTGACAAAATATTCTGCTATGATAAGTTCAAGAATCGATCATTTTTTTCAAATTCTGGTCGATCTGCCATCTCCTGCTTTCTGAATGAAGTTCTTAACTTCTGTATGATGTATTCTATGTGATGTTTTTCTCATTGAAATCTACAATATGTTTTAAACATGACTGGAGTCCATGTACCAATGGAAAAATGGAAAAAATTAAAAAATTATTTTAAAAAATAATGTCAACAAGAACTCTGCCTGGAAGATAAGGAAAAATTGTTTTCAAAAGCAACAATGGGTCGAGAGGGGAACAATCCAATGGTTGATATCAACAACAATGAGAACCATCATGGTGTGATGACGAGCTAAGACACCGAGCCTGACCACCTGATCCTTTTATTTACCTTTAACGACCAGCAGTAAGTACTGGGGACCTTAGCTGACCTGTAATCCCCAATGGGGTGACAGTGTATAGCGTTAATGGGGTGACATAACACAGCATTACAACATCAAATTCCAGTCAAGCCCTTGATAGATCAACAACAATTCTGCTCAATCTATTCAGAGGATTTGGTAAGGAAAATACATTGTACAAGCTAACATCACATCATCATCTTCATGACTGTACCACTCTTACAACTGATAATTGTAACATTATAACACTCTCGATCCTCCTGTTTCATAAACTCCCCTGAGCATGCTATCCAATGTGAGGAAATCACAACTTCGAGGGAATGTGAGGCTAATGTATTTAGATCAGCAAAATCACACTTCGGGGCATTAAGCTGATCTAATAACTGCTCCAAACAGTGTCAATTACAGATTAAATAGTGCAAATGTTGTCAGTCTCCACCTTCAACTCGGCACTTTCAGCGTGTACACCAAGTTCATCATGACAGTGAACATCAAACCGACCCAAAGGTGTGTGATCGATCAATATCTAACACTTGCACAACCAGGAAGAGCCAACAAAAAAATACTTACAGCTTTCAGAGCTTTCACTGCCTCTTCACAAACTTGCATCCCCCGAGAATCGAAAACTTCGATGCAGCCGAGATACTGTCGATAAAGGTACTTAGGGTTAATGGACAGTTCATTGAAAAACCATGTGGGAGGATTCTGATAAGATACATTATTTTCGTTAATCCTTTGTAAATATATTTGGGTCTTCTTTCCCAATAGTCACATTCTAAAATATAACTGAAATTAGATGTTTGTGTTTGAAATTTAATCAAATGTTTGTGCTGCAACTGCTTTGCTGGCTATTGCTAATGGGCCAGTGGGTGAGTGAGTGAGTGAGTGAGTGAGTGAGTGAGTGGGTGGATAGTGGAGTGGGTGAGTGGGTTTGGGGTGAGTGAGTGAGTGAGTGAGTGAGAAGCTTGAATTATTCATCAGAAGCAAAGCTTGTTGTTTAGATCCAGGACACACAGGTGGCTTCCAACATACTTGTTTATAAATTGTTTTGTTTATTTATTGTTTTTTTGTTTTATTTATTTATACGCCACACCAACATTCTAGCTGTTTGACAACTGTTTACAAAATAATCAAATCTGGACCAGACAATCCAGTGATTGATATCATGAGTGTCAACCGACAACATCAGGATACAATGACACATTATCGACCAAGTCTTCTAATACATTTAATCATCTCTTATGACAAGCATAGGTTTCTGATCAATTTTAACCTGGAATCTGTATACAGACTGAGCAAATGACTAAATCATGGATTACATCTGGTAAGTGTAATGATAGCCATATTGTTTTAAAGCAATCACAAGTCAATTAGGAGATAAACATACTGTATTTGCATGTAGATCTAAGTTACCTGTACAAATAATGCCACTTCATCGAATTTGGAACATTACATAAAGCCTGAGGTTTCAAATGTTAAATGTAGCACAAATCCAATCCAGCGACGGCCTCTTGTGACCAGGTTACCAGGTCTGTCTTACAGTTCCTGAACCATATTATTTTCCCTTTCGCCCAACTCTTACTGTAATGATACAGCACTACATTTAGTCGAGATATTTTTCACAATTTCCCGTTTCACTGACAGGTGCCAGGACCTCTCCTAGCCTGGGTTCCCCAAAGCTTTTTCAGTAGTCAATGGTTGGTTTGGGTAAGCAACAGCACAGTGGGCAAATTCCATTAGATTATGAGATATGAGGATGACTGAGTGTTTAACATAGTAGTCAGGGAAATTCCTGCTACATCATGGTGACTTGTAAACAGTCAAGTGCAGCAAAACAGTGTTTGATACACAGCTGGGTACAAAGCCACATAATACAACCACCCCATCCTCCTTGAAATAAGCACATACAAGCTTGGGTATAAGAGACCAACTATTCTGCACCCAAATCGTCAAAGAATGAGTGGGTGCATGTGAGTGAGTGCATGAGTGAGTGAGTGAGTGAGCTGGGTTTCACTCCACCTTTTAGTATAAGCATTAGTACAGCCATATCACAGGAGAGAGATAAAGAAGAGACTGCACATATCATACTCATGTGTAAAATGAAAGTCTTCATCATGAGCAGCATCTGCTTCAACCATTAGGCTACCCCATTAGGCTACCCCACTAGGCCCCACCTCACCACGCCCCAAGAAGTCAATAAGACTCACCCGGACTTGGAAGCTGCAGGTGCCATCCCGCACCTTCTTCTCGTCCTCCTGCCATTGGTGGGGCTTCGAACATTCAGGCACATGATCTTTTTTCTTCCGAAAACTAAGTCGCCGTTTCAGGCTTTGCATTATACTGCGGTAAAATCTGCAAAAACAAGAAAACAACTATGAAAGACTTACACATTTTGCAATGTAGATGGCTGAATACATTCTGAAGCTAAAGCATTATTTTACATAAAAGAATCAGAGACTGGGTTGTTCGTACTGTTTCTGAAACTGGGCAAGTTTCAAGAATCAAACTCAGTGAGTGAGTGAGTGGGTGAGTTGTGGCTCACTCATCCGTAAATCTGATGATTCAGACATTCCACAGAGATCTAACCTGTTTGCAATGGGCAACTGCACCAGCCATTAACTTATGAACTATACAACAACAGCATCATTTCAATGATGAACGAACTATAATTACACTTTTCTGCCAAAATGTTAGACCAGCATGATCCACACTCGGGACAAATCAATGCTCCAGCATCAATATTCAAAGCATGAATACAACTTAAAGCACATCAGAAATAAACAATCCAGAGTGATATCTTGAAGACATTTTTCCCAGGGCCAAGTATCAGCGCACAAAACAAACGATTCCATTTACAGCAGCCATTTTCTTCATGCTCCATGTACACGAGGACATATCACAAAACCTTTGATGTCTTAGTCTTCTTACAGCCCAGAGCCTGACTATCACGAGAGTCTGACAAAGCCGATAGATCTAGCTGTTCACCATCATGCAAACTGCCAGTGGGGCAACCACTCTGTCTAAGACTTGCGCTTTCCGCGACCAGCGTAAAATACTAACATTTCCCTGTCTAATTCCAGGCAAATGACATCTTCAGTAGTGCCAAAAAGAAACGCTTTTATGAGATCTACAAGAAACATTAAATGAAATTAACTCATTTTCCTGAACAAGCTCAAAGGTTAAAACAAGGAAGAATTAAAGAAAATATGTGTCATCTACACAGCAACTATAAAGTCATTTCTAACCTATAAATCCTAAACAAAAATCATTAAAGGCTAAAAAATGATAAAATAACAGACTGACCTAAATGTTAAATGAACATGAATAATTACACGCACTGTTGATATTGACAAAGACAGGACATATATAGAACTTGTACTGCAAGGTTTATTATGATGCCTTGCTAGGCCTATTATTCAAGGTATTTATTCTATATCATGTTGTGTCAAAGAATGAAGCCAAGTACATGATCATTCATAACGTGACCTCCACAAAGATCCACTGTCAAAGCACACAGTCACAAGTGTCTGGCAGATATTGGATCTGGCTTGGAGGCTCACTACAAAATATCATACCACTGTGTATAACAGTGTTAAGAAGGGCTGGGACCCTTGACATTTCCTACTATGGTATTTCAATCTTGTGATATAATGAAATCCTTTTTTAAACATTACGGTTATGCCAAGAGTCTCATGACTTAATGCACTTCAAAAGGCTTATCATAGTGTTCAAGGTCTTGAAGGGATATAGGTCATTTATCAAAGGTCATAATCTGCTGAAATATCAGCATGGCTAAGAGATGCCCCTCTGAACGGCAATCTCAGCTATGCAGAAGGAGGCCCTTCTGGACAGCAGACAATCTTGTTATGGCTAAGGGATGCCCTTCTGAACAAGAGATAGTTACAGATTAGATGAGGGATGCTGAATGAAGCCCTTCTGAACAGAAGAACGTCTCAGCCTAGATGAATAATGCCCTTCTGAACAGAAGGTCTCAGCCTAGATGAATAATGCCCTTCTGAACAGAAGAACATCTCAGCCTAGATGAATAATGCCCTTCTGAACAGAAGAACGTCTCAGCCTAGATGAATAATGCCCTTCAGCCTAGATGAATAATGCCCTTCTGAACAGAAGAACGTCTCAGCCTAGATGAATAATGCCCTTCTGAACAGAACATCTCAGCCTAGATGAATAATGCCCTTCTGAACAGAAGAACGTCTCAGCCTAGATGAATAATGCCCTTCTGAACAGAAGAACGTCTCAGCCTAGATGAATAATGCCCTTCTGAACAACAGATAGTCACAGCTTAGATGAGGGATGTCATGTCCTTCTACAGAAAGTGACAACTTAATACAGTGCACCCTTTTTAAAAGCATGTAAAATCATCCATCTTCTTGAACTTGAGGATGTAATAGGGATAGAAATGCACTACATTCCATGCTCCATCGCTGCAAAAAGCAATGACTGCATAAATCACATAAAATCTGTTGAATTGGAAATATTCTTGACTATAATGGAATACAAAAATCAACAAAACCTGGGGTAAAGCTGAAGTAATTCCACTGAAAACTTAAGAGACTGCTGATGTCAAATGAATCAGCATTACAGAATTATGGTGTAACCGAAAGGAGGGTAATACATTGCGGGCAGCAAGTTCGTGTGAGGGGAAATGAATTGTACAGTTTACTTCCACTATGACTTAAGTACCAAATCCTGTGAATCTCATCCTGGTTCCATTATCTGATGTCATGGCCCCAGTTCATATGGGCAAACACCAACACAAGCCAGTGATACCACTGGTCATTTAAACAAGCTTGCAGGACACAACACTGATGTTCACTGGATATTCAGTGGATATCCCTTGTCGTACTTATTGGATTTTGAAGTTTACTATTGATACAAGGGCAGTGGCCCATTCTAAATTCAGAAAATGGCTAATAATCCTGAAAATGGCCCATTGTCAAAGTTCTCTATCCCAATCCCTGCAAGATTATATTGGTTACATGACACAATATTCAGATGACGTCAGCTGTAAACAGACAAGCTCATCTTTGTTACAACACAAGACATTCACCTGATGTCCTTAGTCATGGCCGCTGTCACCATGAGGACTTCCTTGGTTACAATACTACACACGATCTGACACAACTGTAGGATGGACAACAAGCCCGCCACAAGTTGTTTCCTTATGTGACAAACAAAAGCAGGGATCATCTCAAAAGTCATTTCGTCTATTTACAGTTCACAATGAGTAAAGGAAGTTAATGCACAAAGCATCTGCTTTCATTAAAACAGATCAGTAAGCTGTATGAAAGGATGGAATTATCTACAGACTGAATTATGCTCTATTTGAAAGCATGATGAGGAAACAAAATGAAGCTTAAAGTTTGGAGACAAACAGAAGTGACAATCTTTTCAGACAGAAAAGCTGACCTACATAACCAACTTGAGATCAGCTGCAAACGGAATCTTCCATGGGAGAGAATCTCAGTTAATGACTCAGAAATGTTTTAATTCATCTGATAATTTTCAATATTTTATATGTACATATTACAGATGACCAAGCTTATATTCTTTTTCTGTTGTCAACTTAGCAATCTAACAGTCTTTAAGCAAAGAGAAAATTTAACAAAATGCCAAAAGACACTTTATGAACACAAGATTTAGCACAGTGTAAATAGTTTGTACAAATATGGAAACATTTATATCAATAAGTCAATAATTCTAGATTAAATATCATCCAAGCAAGAGGTGACCTTTTTACCAAGCATCTAGGAAATGAAGGAACTAATCAAACCAGCATAGCAATATCGAACAAACAGCCTGAACACTGATGACATCAACACCATGGAGCTGGACATGGAAACATGGCCACCAATAGCAGAATCAATGTAACTGTATACATTCTCATGTCTAAGCTGCCAAAGCAAACAGCCCACTCATCTCCAAATTTCAATTAGTAAAATATAACAGGAAGTACACACAGACAAAATCAAAATATACATTCTATGTAGACTCTTCATCCTGATTCAGAGAAGACGATCAATGTAAAACATCAAATGTTTAACCTGTTCTGAGGGCAATTTCCCAGTAACCAAGCTCCAGAGAGTATTGAGAAGTCAGAGAGATGATGTACAGTTTCCATGGAGATGGTTTCTGCTATCAAAGAAACTTCATTCCCGGTCAAAAACACGAGATCCAAAACTACATCTCACAAGTTCGACAGCAATTTGAACTGAAAGTGAGGCTTACACGTATCAGAACATATAGGAAATGAACACAATAAGTACGTCAGATCGGAAATAATTCGCCATTTTGTTGCAAGAAGAGGAAGAAGCTCCTCATGACTGAGTAGCAACCACTTCTATCGAGTGACGACACAAACGTACGAGTAGTTCTCCATGCCGTGTTTTTCATATCTACAAGTAGCATCTAGTAGTTGTACAATTGCTGGTATCTAACTCAAGACAATATGCTCTTTTAGAAGTTATCCTTAAGTTGTAGTTGAAAGGTTTACAGCAATTAATAATTATTATTTGAAGTAGAGATACCATTTGTTTTCCGGGTTTCAAATCTGACAAAACCATTCACGTGACATGCTCATGACATGTTCGTGACATGCTCATGACATGTTGGTGGCACGGTGCAAGAAAAGATACAGTATGATAAGATCACGTTGAATCCTTATGTTTTAGTCTACTTCATAATAAAGGTATAAAATTATTAACATGTTTAAACTTTACTTTCTCTGTTCCAATTGCTCATTTTTTACTCCTGTTCTTATCCTGTTTTCAGTGTAGGAAAGATGTAGAAATTCTAGCCTGTCCACAGGACTGGCAGGTCAAATTTTTTACCAGTCCAGCCAAAATCTAGCCTGTCCTCCAAATATAAATAAAACACCTTCAGCAGTAAATATTCAAAAAGGTTATAATCATTATATATATGTCATTGGTTTGCTAAAATTAACCCGACATGAGGACGGACTAGATATTTTTTTAACCCGTCCTCCACAAAATTCACCCGTCTCGGACGTTGGGACGAGCTATCTTTCCTACACTGCTGTTTTATAATCACCGAAATTGATAGCACACAGCTAGTTTCAGATCTAGGAGCCTTTGAGGATGATATTCACTGATGAGTTCTCATGTAGGCAGGAAAGTATTGCCCATGGAATGCTCGTAATATTGCAATACAGGTATTGTATTAACTTCTTTGAGAGACATTTAGAAGTTGGAGCAGTAAAGAAGATAAGAAAGTATGGATGAACTTCTTTATTACAGTGAGAGCAACTATTCGGTGTAGGTTATTTGCTTGATAACAGTGTTAGAACCTACACCGAAATGTCGCTCTCACTG